TTTTGAATCTGTCTCCAACTCCAACCATCATTTGCCACAAAAAGAATAGAAAATGCAAAAAGGTCGATCAAAAAAGAAAGAACATCAAATATTGGAAACAGCGTCCAATCTTGTTTTGTTTTGTTCTTCACCACAACCATTCGTTGTGTTGTGTTTGCCAGTATCATGCATGTTAATTAAGCATTTGAATTTTCATTTCATCGTTTCAATAGATTTTCAAAATAAAAGGAAAAAATCTTCTGCATGTAAATAGATCCGTGGGGATCTTGGTTTGAAAACACAAAACAACAAAGCTAGAGACAAATTAAGCCTAATATCACATCAAACCATATAATAATAAATAATAATATATATCCATATGTTATGGATGAGTTGTGAATTATATAGTTTAGGCTAATAGATAAGAATAGAGCCAAAAACCAAAGACTTAATTAAAAATGTAAAGCTTTTGTGCAATTTGCCACACATATAGAAGACAAAACTCAATCATGTTGCTGGTTTTGCATATAATTTACTTGAAACCATTGTATGTGGGTATTTACTAAATAATAAATATTAAGCCAAGATGCACACCAACTGACCCACAGGCTCAAGAGTTTGGTTTTTGTATACCAATAAACAGTCACAAGGGAGCATTGAACCCTTGGCAAAAGCCTAACTCAAAACAATAATTGATTTCATTTGTTTATTATATATATATATATCTCTAAGCTAAATTGCCAAAAATACCTCATTCTTTCTACAGTTTTAATGCTACTTTTGGCTTTTCATAAATATTTCAAAAATACCATTTGAACAAATATTAAGTCAGAGTTTGGATGACGTGACAATTAACGTGGAAATTTGTCTACATTAAATTTAAAATAGAGGAAATGTAGAAGAAGCTATTGTTTTTAAAAGGTGGATTATGATAAAATTGAGTAGACATTGAAAAAACAAACTATACTGACAATGAAGGAATAAAATATTCACGATAAAATTGGAACATTAATTACCACATAGTTCAAGATTCTACCATGTCAAATTTTTGTTCAAAATGTTAACGGATGTTTGTCTATGTTCACCAGGTATTTTTTTGAAATATGTTTATGAAAAGTGAAGAGTAGTATTGAAACTTTTAAAAGAATAAAAATATATATATATATATATATATATATATATATATATATTAATAACTAAGTTTAGGAGTTTTTGTTTTTTCTTTTTATGGGTAATTTAGCCTTATTAATATTATAGAGAGCTGGCTTGAAGTCTAGTATTAGGTAGTTAAAACTGGGTGTTCAAGAAATACAAAACTTATGAATATTAAAAAAGTAGTCAGAAATGACACATGAGTCTAATGAAAATATTTAAGGTTAAATATACGGTTTAGTTCCCAGATATTTTTCCAATGTAGCCTTTATTTTTCTATAGAAGTTTTAATTTAGTGCCTTACTTTTTAATAATCTTCGATTATATCCTCACCGACGACGATAAACTTACATATGTACATAGATACTTAGCAAGTTAACATAAATTTACATAATAAATTAGGTCACTCAATTTTACTTCTAAGCAGCGTAATTCCTTCCTTAAATTATCACCAAGTAATCCTAACATTAGCTCGGGGGAGAGTATAATGGAAAACTAGTAAGACATTAATGACTAAATTTTATAAAGTAAAAATCATTAGAAAGAAAGGCGAGAAGGTGAGATCAGAAGGCAGTAATTTGAGGGGAGAGAGAGAGTGGTTAAAAAAAGAGAGAAATTAAGAATAGGGGCAAATGAAGAGGGGAGGGGGTTGGAAAGTGAAGGGTCAGTGTGAAAGGAAAAAGGGTAGAAGGGCAAAGACAGAGAGTAAGTTGGAATTGAAAGAAATTCGAAAAAGAGAGAGAATGAACATTGAACACAGGCAGAAGCAGAGGCAGAATGGAGATGGAGAAGAATCTTAGGATTGGGGAGTTTGAATTAATTAGCTACAGCTACAGCTACGGGTATTGTAAGAGTAGAGGCAGAAGAAGATCAATGGTTGGGAATGTCTGGTGAATTGGCAGATGGCCTGCCCATTGCCATTGCCCTCATTAAATGCTATGCTATGCAATGCTAGCATTTTTTGGGTTTTTGAGCCTCTGCTCTTCAGGCCAGCCCTACCCTTTTTGCTTCAAATCCAACTCCAAACAAAACCAAACATTATTGAATCATCAATATCCATGTGTCAGCGGATCACTATTTGCACCCCACCAACCACCTCGACCTCATCCATTTTGTTTCATTCTTCTAATTTCATTTTTCAAATCCTATGTTTTCTGTTTTCTTTTTCTCATTATGACGTCACATTCCATTCCCAAATCATCTTTAATATGTTCAAATTCTAAATTTTGCCCTTTAGTGTATTCGATAGACAAAAAGAAAAGAAAAGATGCTAACAAAAAACTACTTGAAGAAATGAGATCTATTTTGTACATTTTGCACTACTCTTTTTGTGATGTAAACTAATTAATTATTTGGTATTACAGAACAATGTATGGGTTTTGACTCTTGAGTTTTCAAATCTACTCACCAACAATATTTAAATACATGATACAAAAATTGAAACTTTTAATGTTGTGAAGGGGACTAGTTCCAAACAAAACAAGTGGAAGAGGGAGAGGAAGAGGAGGTGGTCCATAATTGTTAGGTCAAATGAGGCATCACACTCGGGGAAGAAGAGAGAGAGAGATGGGCTTCGGTCTCTGTCGCCCCCAATCACTCTTCCACTTACATTCTACTTTTTGGCCCACTCTCTATACCTGTCGTCTGGCCCAAATATTCCAACAAATGACAAATTTTCATATAATTAAAATAAAAATCAATTTAACAAAAATCAAATCAACCAATAAAATACATAACAACGTTTTCTTAGTTCAATGTAGGCGTTTCAAGTAATTAATTTAACGACTCGCACGTGTCAATGAGTTATAGGTGTGCTACTCTTCTCATTGGAGATGGAATATATGGTATTAGAGCCCAAAAGCTCAAACGAGCATCTGTTTCAAAAATGAGATCAAGCCACGAGGTACCCTTTTGAGGGAGTTAAGGATCCCACATTAGAAATATAATTGACCTAATTAGGGTTTATAATATATAACTGGATTATTACTCCTCTCATTGGAGATAGAACCCCATTAATATTGATATATATACTTAATTGGTCGACTTTGGTAGAGGATCTGGTTAGTTTATTAAATTTAAAAGATTGAATAACATAATCCTCAACCTAAGATAAAGTGGAACAGATTTATTAGTAACTTGTTTGTGAAATTTACAATTATTCAAAAATTACGAAAAAAAAAGTGAAAAGATGTGGGGTGGAGAATTCGAATTCCTAATCTTTTAATTAGGGAGATGTGCTAATTACCGTTGAGCTAAGTTCATGTTGGCGAAACGAAGTAGATAATATGGCATAGGACAACTTGTTTCTCTTTGAATCATGTTTAATTTAGATGGACATTTAAATCTACATATACCATTATGGGGTTATTTATTATTGTTATTATTTGATAAAAGTTATCATAAATAGGATTCCATCGACCTTACTTTTACAAATTTACCGTTATCTAATATAATTTTCAAATTTTCTTTTTCTTTTAGTTTAAAGTCTAATAACATCTAATCTTCCTTTTGACTTAAACTCGAAATGCGTGAACTCAGTAGTAATTAATATATATCTCAAATCAATAAATTGTACGTTCGATCTCTCACCTTCACATGGTGTATTAAAAAAACTCGAAATACGTGATAATCTCATTAATAAGTGTGTTTTCTTACTATAATTATAAAAGTAAAAAGTTAAACTTTTCTTATATTATATACCTAAATATGGTCTAGGATTCTTTTATCGATTAGATTTTTTAAAGATAGACCTCTTCTTTTCTCGACAAAATATTTTTAACAAAAGAATGAACCTTTAAGATTAAATTTGTAAGGACAAATGTTTTTGGGATTGATTTTTCTAAATCACTGTACGTTAAAGTTTTAATATTTTTTAAAAAAATTGTTGGTAATAACTACAATATAATATAGGGTCAAAACAATTTTATTCCGTGATTAACGGGATTGTTTTGTTTGTCCCAAATCCCAAATCCCAAAGCAATGCATTTCCACACAATCCACTGAAAAGTATCAATCTGCTTTCATACTTGGTTAGAAATGATGATTCAACGTGTAAATTTCAACTCATAATCTAAATGTTAGGGTCGTTTAAGTAGTGCTATTTTGGATATATATCANATCATAAATGATGGTAATAGAATAAAAAAAAAAAAGAGAAAATGTTAATAAGCAGTAGATTTAAGGTTATAATCACATAAATAATAACTACTCCTCAATACATAATTGAATGTTCATTGATTCTAATTTACTATAAAATAAAAATAAAATAATTGGTTAAGACACTTATTTATAATCAAAAGATCGTGAGTTTGAATCACAACCAACGTACTAAGAAATAAAGTAATAAATATCTCGTTCTCGTTAGTATATGAGTTAGTCAAATTGATAGATGTTACAAACGTGGCAGCGAGCTTTAATACAGAGAACCATCCCTTTAAAAGTTAGGTTCTGTAATTTTACAAATAACAAGAAAAAGAAAAACTCTTTTTTAAGGAATCATCTGCTCCTCCTGAAAAGGCTAAATACACGCAGCTTTAGAGACACGGAAGCAAACCTTTAAGATTTAATATTCCCTTTTTGAGATTTCTTGAAATTAGGGAACCAAAAACGAAACAAGAGTACACAGCCAAAATCAAACGAGCGTGTGATCTATTTATCATCAAAAAGGAAAAATTCAAACTGGTACCCAACAATTTCCCTTTTCTTTTTTTTTTCTTGAAAGAAATTAGTTCTGCTCCAAAGTTTTTCAAAAAACAAAAAATAGTCATCCATCACCGTCGGCTCCTCCGACTCATTTTCTCTATAAAGAAAAGAAATCTTCAACGAGAGATCATTATTACCAACTTTGAACCACCTCCCTATTCATTCATTGCACATAAAACAAACCAAAGATTATTCCTCACTCACTCACACAAACACACAAAAAAGAAGAAAAAAAGAACCCCTTTTCCAAATTCGAAATTCCAGCCCAAATGTTGCTGCGAGCCTCCATCTCCAACACGAAGAAGTTCTTCAAAAAAACCATATGCAACTTCAAATCTTTCTTCTCCACTAGCTACCACAGGCTACCCAAGACGCCGCCGCCCTTCGCCGCCGGCCCCCGCATGGAAAAAGATTCCACCTTTCAATTCATTTCTTCCCAAAAAGAGGTGCAAAGTGGAGGCTTTATGAAGAACAACAGCAATGCACTTCATTTTCCCAACAAAATGGAGGAGACCCAGATGGAAATCAGAGTAGTCGACAAAAGTTATGGGAGCATGAATAATATCGGAGCGACCCATCAAAGGAAAAGGCAAGAAAATCGCGATCGTGAATCTAGTTCCAAGTATATTATTGATGAGAGGAGAATGTGTTTGGTTGCCAAGAAAATCAAAGAGTTGGAAAAGTTAGACTCGAGAAATGTGGATCATGCTTTGGACATTGAAGAGATTCTCCATTACTACTCTCGCCTCACTTGTCCTGCCTATCTTGAGATTGTTGATAAATTCTTCACCGAGATTTTCGCTGAATTCTCTGCTAATTCGTCTTCTCAACCATGTCATACCATTAAGCCCAGGCTAATTAGGCCGCAATCTGTGGGGTTAGTGAAAAGAAGAACATCTGATTTCTTCTAGACCATTTTTATTCTTTTGATTTCATTTCTTTGTAATGCATTTTGATCATTTCGGTGTTGATGATGATTCATAAATGTGTGTAACATAGTTTGATTTGAATGTCTATGAATAACATTGAATTATCCTTTTTAACTGAAGTTCATTTTAATTAATAGGAAGCTTACTTGTTGTTAATTTTTCTTTGGGAGTTTGGAAATCAAGGTGGCTAGCTGTCGGCACCAAATCAGGAGGGTGAAATGGATGCTTTACTTAATTTTCTGAGAAAGGAAATAAAGCCTTGGATTCTAAGTAAACTAGGGACCATGTAGAATAGTTTCTTTAATTTATTCAAAAGAGGAGTAATTTCTACAGTGAGTATTTTGAAATTGTTTGATTCTATTATATCAGGAAGGTTTAATTTAGTGAAGATTTTTATCAGTTTTTTCTTAAGATTAGTGAAGGATATACAAAAATCATAATGAAAACCCAATGGATCCTATATATATTTGAAATAATAATGAATCTTAATTAAAAGTTGACCAAAAAGATTTCATATGATGTGAATCATACTAGGAAAAAATCGAATCCGATGTCAAATAAAAGATGGGAGGAGGAGGGAGCATGATATGGTATTATCGTGTCTCCAAAAGGGACTTTATAGGTCAAAATGCCCAGAAGAAAAGTATTTGGAAAAAAGGATCCGTCAGAAAAATTTTAGTTAAAATTAAAATAGATTAAAATTTATTATTATTTTAATTAAAAAATATATTAGCTAAATAATGTATTTATAATTAGCTACAGTGATAAAATGGTATACAACTAATTCTAACCTATCCAATTCTTATTCTTATTCTAAATTCAGACACTTTTACTAGACAACATCAAACATATTAATAATTCTATATTTAATAGTATGCGGGTGACCTATATCCTGATGAATAATATAAAATTTTCAGTATATAAAAACTGAAATGAATTAAAATCTATTAATTATGTATTCTATCTATAAATATTATTGAAATAAATTAAAAATATATATAATATTGAAATAAATTCAACGAATCCCTAAGAAACTAATCAAAGGCAAGAGAACAAAGAAGATAATGTGCCGTGACCTATTTTTTTTGTTTTTTATTTTTTAAATTCAATATGTGGGATCAACCTACAATCTCTTGGTAAGAGATTGGTGTTTTAGTTAAACTCAAGTTGACTTAACGTGGCTTATTTTGATTAGCTTCTATTATGAATTGGGTCGGATCCTTTATTGACTCCTCTTTTATTGGATTGGTTCAGGTGAAAATTCATGGCAGGGGATGTATGCATTCGCCTTGGCAATGGGTGCACTCTGACTTTCGTCACTGCCCACACTCATGATCTTGCGTAACAGTTAGCATATATTTCTGCTGGGTTTGTAAGGGGAATAAAAAAAAAGTTTCACACTAACTAGTGAAGAGTATGGATCATGATCTATATATATAAGAGAAGACAATTATCTCCATTGGTCTCTATTGGTATGCGGTCTCTTGGGTGAAACAAAAAACAAAGTCGTGCGAGTTCTATTCAAAGGGGTACATTTGCCCTAAACGAGTAGTATCAAAGACATGGTCTAAATGTAGCTATGTCGGTGAATCTTGGAGTGTCAAACAAAGAAGTGGTGAGTCTCAGAAGATGTAGTCATGGTGTAATCTATGTGTATACTCTATCTAGGTGTGTCTACTTGAAGGGAGGTTGGATGATATGCAAACAAAGTTACATTGGTTAGCCATGAGGATTATGCCCAAAATAGACAACATCATACAATTGCAGAGATACTTAGATACAAGGGGTACCGTTGTAGATGCATGCTATGGTATTATAGAAGAAGAGATTTCGAAATATTTAGTGGAAAAGAAATGATGGATTTCATCCTACAATGCAGAGGGATAAATAAAGAATTATACACCCTAAAATCTAAGAAACTAACTTTGATCATGTCATGCAATTTAGAAAAACTTTAACCATTTTACTTAACAATAACCTGTGATTGGCCATTCTTAAGTTTTTTGGGCTTAGTATTAGAAACACATAAACCATGTTTGCTCAAGACATGAAAGGTAGGCTGACCCTCCAGGGCCTCCGTAGCCTATTCCATTATCTTAGGCTGGGCCTTTTTGCAAGCTCAATACAATGGGCCCAGCTTTTTGTGTTGGCTTGAGTGTCATCTTTTCTCAAATTACCTGCAAAAATAGTACTTCAGAAAACAATAATAGGTGAAATTCATTTGCAACCTTTTTTTCTTTGAAAATTATAGTTGAAACAATGGGGGTAAAGATTTGGAAATTTTGTGACGCTCAACAAATTCATTTGTGGAACCTCATATTTGGTATAAAAAGTCACTTTTAACTTAAATTTTTTTAGTTTCATCAAACTCACTAATTTGAATATGTCATAAAATCAATATCTTTTTTAAAAAAATAAATTAGAAAATGGTCTTATTAACCTCAGCAAATCACATAAAATTTCAGTTAAAAAAATAAAAATTAACTTTAAAAAATGACTCAAACTTAGTGACAAAATCCAAGTAGGTAAAAGGAGGTCTCAACTCACCAATAAAATGATTAAATCCAAGGAGGTTAGTTTTGGGCATTTATCCAACTTAGTTACGTGTCAAGCTTGATTTTCTTTGAAATTACTGAATTTTGTAAGATTTTAGTGGATGAATTAATCTAAATTGCATATAGGATAAAGAATGACAATATTTATCTAAGTCAAGGCTCAAATTTAATGAAATTGAAAGTTCATGGTAAAAGTTGATATACTTTTGTCAAACACAAGAGTAAAAAAGTTAATTCTTTCCCCTGAATTTTTTAAGGCGTGAAAGAAGTTAAGGAGGAGACTATTAAAAGTGGTGATTGTATATATAGCTTATCATCTTGTCAGAGTTAAATCTGTGTAAGATTTCAAAAAGCAATTTTTTAGTTTTAGCAACGGTTATTAGATGTATAGAATTCTCCTAGTGTGTTTCTAAAATACTACAGCATTTTTTAGTTGTGGGTGAGGAAATCAGGTTCAAAGGAAAGTGAAAAATAGTGTAAATGCAAAAGATATTTTGAAATATAAATCGAGGTCATTTCAAAAGTCTAACACTACACTACACCCAAAGAAAATGGAAAAGTAAAAAAAAAAAAAAAAGCATAAAAATAAGGTCGAGTACAAGTTGGAAAGTTGTCCGAAGATAGACACCAAAAATGTAAGACTATGTTGGGTGTTCTGATTTGAAGTTTGGTTGTCTTTTAAAATAACAACGTTAAGAGGCTGGAAGATGCACTCGGTATCCACTTAGATTCCCACAAGATGGGGACGATCCGCCACATCACTTCCTCTCTTCTTGTTGCTTGTACTACCAATAGTGTTATATAATAATATATATAACACATGTTCTCTCAAGATTGGTCAGATCTCATTTTTGGATCGAATACTCACTTGAGTTTGTTGAGCAACTCTGATACCATATCAAAATTAAAAGATTTTATCTCAAAACTAATTGATAATGAGAAAAATAATGTAGGTGGGATTTTTATAAATTTTTGTTAAGTCTTTTATCTTTTCAACGTGGGATCTTTAACACTTATAGTAAGAAAAAGAAAGGCGCAACTGATGATGTCTCTTACCATCTTTTCTATCTCTTCTCTCTCCAACTCAGACAAACATAGAAATAATCTGATCAAAGTAACGAAGAATTGCTACATGCCATCAAAAAATGCTCAGATTGGGTGTTGTGGAAGAGAAGTGGGGTTATGTTATTGCACTCCAAAAGATTCTTGCTTTGCTTTCCTTGGTTGTTCTTATTTGGGTGGCCAATGAAATGACGACGTTTTTGACCAAATTTGCCCACCTATCCAAGGAAGGGCCGCTCGCTCTCTGAGGAATGAGACATATCGTTGGCTTTTTTGATCTGCCATTGGTTTAAAAGTAATGGGATTTTGTTGAAGCCGTCCCCAAGAGAGGGATGGAGATTTTCTTTTGGGCAAAAGAGAAAGTGAAGGATCAAAGGCAATGGATTGTAAATGACACTTGGAGAAATGGATGTGCGAATGATTGAAGAGAGAACAACACACACAAGTTGCAAAGAATAATTATATGCTATATATTTTAATTTAGTGGTGTGGGCGAGTGTCTTTTTTGGCTAAGGAGAATTCAAAGGAAAAGTTGACAATGAGAAGAGTAGCTCGTTTGAACGTTTTGCTCTTTAATATCATATTAATATTCATGGGTTCCATCTTAAAACCAATGGACAATAAGAAGAGTAGTTTGTGTCTATTATACATCTTTATTAGGTCTCTTATCTTATCAACGTGGGATCTTTTTAACAGCTCATTCTTTTTTAATATAATAGTGATTTTGAAGGATTTGTCGCATTCTCTCCTCTCACACGCATGCATGTATTGCCCCTTTCACACCCTCTACTCTTCATGTAAAGCTATATTAACCAACACAATCCCTTTGTGAATAAAGGCTTTCGTCATGGTCGTTAAACTCTGCTCTCCAAATTTATAATAATTAGCTGCCACTGGAAATATTGGAAAAGGGAAAAAAAGAATGGAATGGGGAATAAATAGTGTGGTGCAATTTCCGTAGCATATGTTATAATGGTGTGTGGTGTGGTGTGAAGTTACACCGTGGTGGTTAAACATAGCGTCCTTTAAGTTATGGCGAATGGTCCACTGTGAAAAATATAGAATACCAAAAAGAGGGAGCTGGGTCTCACACATACACACTTGACACTTGACACTTGACACTTGACACTTGACTTTACAATAAATAATAAAAGAGAGGACCACTGGGGATTGGGGAAGGGAAGGCAATAAGATTGTGGAGAAATTAAAACCCGTAGAGAGCCGGGCCGGGGGTGCGGGATCGGATCCAGTCCAATGGTCCAAATTCAGAAATCCAACACACCACCATGTGCTCCATGTGTAAACAGGGAAATGGCGCATGCAGCCAGCTGCTGACTGCTGTGCTGTGCATGGCGCTGTGACGTGTCCATCTCCACCAATTCTCACGTGCCATCTGGTCCATACAACGTGTCAGTCCAACGTCTACAGATTCTCATCCAACCACCTTTCTCCAACTCTCCCACCCCGCTCCTCAATAAGCTTATGACATCATTTGATATGATTTAGAACTTTGATATGATTTAGGTTTTCCTACTAGAAATTGGAATTAGATTTACTTTAGATGTTATTTTGATTTAGATGTCTTATTCCTATCATGATTAGGAATTATTATATTGTAAACAAGATTATATATTTGTATCGAGATTAAGAAATTTAATACAGTGAAATCGTATTTTATAATTCTCTCTATTTTCTTTCCTCCTTGAAATTTATGAGCTTATTCAATTATATAACTATATGACAATCCTGGACTTTGGAGGAACACCATTTTATTTGGATAAGAATACATTCTCCATCAATGTGGTAGCAATGAAGTGGATGGAGGAATGAATGAGTATATTTGAAGAGATTAGTTTTCAGAATGCAATATTTTTAAGGATGTGACCATGTGTATCAAATAATGACATATATTCTTGATATATATTGTATCAACATCAATAGTACATAAAAAAATCAATTAAAATTGAATACACGTTGAAGAGTATATTTGAAGAAACTATTAACAACAAAAATAATTATTTAAAATGTAAAGTTTACTAGTCAAGAAAATACTGACTTTGATTATTGATGCCTAAAGTTCTAGAATATAGATTTTGTTTCTGTTATTTTTTTTTTTTTGGATGTCATGTTTGGTTCAGTTGACATTATTTGGCAGACAAAAAAAATGGGTGCCAAATCAAAATTGGTTGGCTGAAATTGATCGAAGGAAATATTAATGTGGTTTGTGTGTATACAATGGAGGAGTTTCAAAGGAATGTTTCGGAAAAATAGATCTAAGGCTTCTTCAAGGTTTAAAACGTGACTGATTTTAAATTTTAATATAACAGAATGAATCTTAAGCGGCGGCTGTTTCATATACAAATCTCCATTATCATTTTCTTAAGTTAACTGAATCACATGATATGTTGTTTTACAGAGACGGTGCAACCAATAATCAAGAATTCAATTTTCTGTCTTTATTAAAAAAGTACTAAAATCACATGATATATATTTGTATATAACATGACTTCGATCTTAATCTAGTCGATCTTAAATAATTGCATGCAACTCAATCAAATTTGACTCATCAACGCATTAATTACAAGAGAGAACTTATGACAAGAAAAAATAGTTGGAACCAAATTCACTGTTCCTGCAGAAATAGAAAATTCTCAACAGAAAATGGTTGTTGGCAATAATTATTACCCAATCATGCTAAAACTCTCAACTCAAGAACTTTGAAATGTAAAGGAATGAATTGGACCTTTCTTTTTACCTTATTTGCAACCCAAATGAATAAGAATGCCAAAAAGAATTTTGGAAAATAGGATTAAAATTACTTTTTATCTCTTATTTTCCAAATCTTTTTAAGCTGACTCAAACACTCATCGATACGAGACAAGAAAATTGTCGAATATTTTAATTATTTCAATTTCTAAAATGAATTGTTTAAACTACAAAGCTGTCTCTTTACAGAAATTACTTAGAAAGATGAGAGAGAGATGAGTCGGCAGTGAAGTGGAAGGAGGATTGATGAACTCCAAGATTGGTAATATTGGATCTTTGATGGACCAAAGACAATTATTAGTAGGGCAGCCATTGCTGGTCCCTAATGGGATTTTCCAACTTCAAACACTTTGATCCTTTGATGCTGATATTCATCTCTCTCTCTCTCTCTCTATAGCTGAGTTTACAGAGAGAGAGAGAGAGAGGGGTATTATGAAGCCAATAAAGATTCTATTTGTGTTCTCATCAACTCCATTCGGTCGGAATAAAGCCCACCAACACCAAATCTTCCCAAACCCCTTAACACACATATTCCCTCAATTACAATAATTCTGTCATTGTCATCCCCATTCCCCACAATTCTAACTCTCTACCCTCGTAACTTTTTTTACTCCAAATCTTACATTTTCCACCACTTATTTCAACAACCCAATTGATAAAAATTAGTAAGGATAAAAAAAGTTGGAATCTTGCCACCTAAATCGTTAAAATTGACCACGAATATGATAGGTTATGGTAATTGGAATGATAAATGAGATTGGGGGTGGTGGGAGATCACTGTGCATTGAGAAAGTGGTCCGAGTTACTGATGAGGATGGGGAAAAGGGCAAGTGATAAGGCTCAACAAAAGAGTACAACATTTAATGTAAGTCATGTTAGCAACTATATTTATAATATTTTTCAAAGGTAATCTTTGAGAATATGCAGAGAGGTAGAGATTAGAGGGGCCCTTTGCTGACTGGCATGCAACTTTTGTAGGTTCATTTGTCCCAATACAGTATTTTTCTTTCCCTTCTTCTCTCTTTCTCTTTTATGCCCTTTTTATTATCTTGTTGCTTTCAACAAAATAAGGTCTCACTAGTGAGAAGTGATGTATATATATATAAATGGTCCCGGTATATATCTGAGTTCATATTGATTAATCTCTCTATCATTCCATTTAATGGTCAATAATGTGTTTGTCAATTATGCACATTTATGGGGTTGTTCTACCATCACTTCCAATTTGTTCAAAATTCTAAAGTCTTCTCAATTGTTCGTCAACGTCATACAAAATGAAATGATTTGGATCATCATTAAATACCATGTCAATTTGTATTAAAAGAAGAGAATACATATGAAAAGACTATTAAGATTTTTTTTTTTGAAAGAAAGTTAAGTAGAAGCATTGTTACACATATTTTAAAATGTAAAACAATTAACCAAAAAGTAATATGTAAATAGAAATGAGAGAAAGAGTAAAAGTAATAATTATAAAGTCGTAGGATTAATAGAATAAGAAATAAGAATGATATTGATAAGGTTGTAGAGAAATGTTATCCCCTCGTGCAACAGTACTCTTAATACCCTTTGGTACAATGCTGTGGGATCTATTTTGTGGTCAATTTGGTTGGGGAGGAACAATAGAACTTTTGCGGATGTCTTCAACCACCTTTGGGATGATATTATTGTTCTAGCTTCCTCTTGGTCTTCCAAGTTTACTTTCTTTTATAATTATGATATATCTATCATTTTACTTAGAGCATTTTTACTTAACCTCTCTTTTTTTTATATGTATTTTTCTCGCCTAGTTTAATGAAATGATTTCTAAGGGAGGGAGGTTGGAGGGTATGAATTAAGATTGCAATAATTGAATTATGAAAAGTAAAGTAATGTCAAATATAATTCTACATCGTACAAAAAGGAACTAACACAAAGAACTCAACGAATATAAAGATCAAATCCTCCCACCCATTTATATATCTATAAATTTACGTATAGTAAATAGAAACAAATTACAACATATCCACATGATAAACAATCCCCTAAATCCGAGCCAATTATCACATATAAATATATTGTAACTAGCTAGCTAGTGGTGATCTCTTTTCCAATTTCTTTTCTGCACTACTCAAAGCTTCAATCTAGCAAAGAAACATTTTGGAAAGCTGACATCTAAAACTTTTTTTCCCCTTCCCTTGAAAAGATATTTTTGCAATTTTTTTTTTTTTTGTAGAAACTTTGGATATGAGAACTGCCTTAGTTTTCTTTTTGCTTTCAACCCCACAGTGACAAAAGCAAGAATGAAAGTGCAGCACTTTTGTGTTTGTAAACTAAAAAGGCATTGCTTTAATCGTGGGTTTGGAGTCGTGATTGAGGCAATACAGAAGAGTGAGTGAAGGGCATTAAAGCCGAGTCCTCAGCTTTCCAAACAAGCTCAATATCTTGTGCTGTTCTTCTCGCATCCATTGATGCCCCAAGAAGCCCTCTCTTCGTGAACCCAACTGCGTATAATCCACATTCTCCTTTCCATCCATTTGGAAATTGCTTCCTTGGCAACCCATCTTTCTCACTGAACATACTCCTTTCCTGAAAATTTATCATACCATACCCTTCAAATTATTAATTATTGGGTCATTATATTTTATTTCAACACAACATTACTTAATTGTCATGAAACAAAAGAATAATTTTAACATATAGTGTCTCAAATTCATTTTCATTAATTCCGTTGATGTATCTATACTTAAAAGTGACAACTATTATCATGTATAGCAAAAATCCCATCATTTAATACTCAATTAAGATCTACCATTAGAGAAAGAAGTATAATAGTTAACATGTTATCAGGCAAATGCGTATAACTTAAAAATTGAAATTATGACAAGCATAATTCAACTAATTAAAACAAGTTGTGAGTTCGAATGTTCACCCTATATGTGTGATATTAAAAGATAAAAACAGTGAAAACTGGTTTAATGGTACTCTAGAGATGAATTACAATTTACATTACACACCGTACAAAATGTACGTGGTTCGATTAAGAGATTAATGAAAAGTAAATTTTTTTTTAAGTACAAAACTAAAGAAAATAATAGGAAATATGCACCTTTAGCCAAGAGGGGACGTTACTTTTATAACCAGTGGCTAAAATGACAGCGTCAAAGTTTTCAACACTGCCGTCGACGAACTCGGCGGCGCAGCGGCTTAGTCTCGTCACTCCTCGGCGAACCTGAAGACCAGATATATTAGAAATCTCATCAACAACATTTGGAAAGAAATATTGATAATTTGTGGGAGAATATCGCAGAGAAGAATTAATTGAACCTTAATTTTCCCGCTTCTGATATTTGCCAAAGTCCCAACGTCTAAAACGGGGGTTCTTCCAGACAGATTCTTGAGCTGTAGAGGGCCAAGTTTCGGGCGATTGAGCCCCAATCTGGCTGTGTCTCCAAGTACCAAATGTGATACAAAGAGAAGAATTTTATCCACTAAGCGCATGGGGAGCCATTTCAGCAAGCACATCGACAATCCAAAAGTTGATCTTCCCAACATCTCATGGGGTAGAATATGCACCTGCGAAAAAAAATGTCAAAAAAGTTTTCTCATGACAAGCAATTTAATATAACTCAAGATATTAACAAAATTGTTGATAATCTCACCGAGTTGCGAACGACGAGATGTGGAGAAGCTTTAAAGTTGCAGAGGTCTAGACAAACTTCCATACCCGAATTCCCACATCCAATAACCAAAACTTTTTTCCCACGAAACACTCCACCAGTCTTGTAAGAACTAGTATGAACAACGGGGCCCTCAAATTCCTCCAACCCTTCAATTTGTGGAAAAATTTCTTCAGCATTTTCACCCGTTGCCACAATCAGCCATTTGCAAACATATTCTGTTGTTTCCTTGAGTCCCAATTTCCCACAGTTAAGAACAGCCTTGACCCGCCAAAACCCACATCCCTCATCCCACTCCGCCGCCGTCACCGTGCTATTGAACACCGGCTTCAACTCAAAATGCTCGGCGTAGGCTCTCAAATAGGCCAAAAATTGTTGCTTTGTTGGGTAAGTGGGGAAATTGGAGGGGAAGGGCATAAGTGGGAGCTGACAAAATTGCTTTGGGAGATGAAGGCGGAGGCGATCGTAGGTCTTGAACTGCCACAACGAAGCTACGCACTCGGCTCTCTCAAGGATCAAACTTGGGATTCCTTTTTGCTTCAGACACGCGGCGGCGGCGAGTCCCGACGGTCCGGCGCCGACTATCAGCGGCCCCGGAACCCTAATTTGTCTTGCCGGCTCTCCATTCTTCTGGATCAGAGGATCGTGAAGTCTTTTGCCTTCCACTTCTTTCAAATAGTCGTCCATAGTTTGTGAGACGAGTTAAAATGAACTAAGGGGTTACAAAGGAAAACAAATTCAGTTATGTATTGGCATGGAAATGAAATTTTAGTGGAATGAGTTTCTTTTTTTTTTTCTTTTCTTTCTCTCTTCCTTACTTAGAATTATTAAAGAAACATAGGGTTGGAGAAAGAAAGGTTGAATTTTGATGGGTGGGAGTTTGAGGTATAAGCTTGAGAATTTTGAGACTTCAACTTGAAGATATATGGGGTTGGGCAGTGGCAACGTTGTAATTTCAAAGGATGTGTGTTGTTATATATATTTATAACGGGTTGGAAATATGTCAAAAACATTTAGTAAAATTAGCAAAATAACGACCACATTTATTTTTTTTTTCAAATATAGCACTCTTTTAAAAGAAAAAGAACGGAGGTTCAATTTTTAAAATGACAACTTTACCCAACAAATATATATTTAACTACTTATATATGTACGTGATATACCTCTAATTTATGACTGATATAAGTATCCGATATACTATGGATAGAAGTGAAAATTTAAAAAAAATGATACATAGAAAAAAATTTAGCTACCCATTACAATTTGCGTGTTTATATAGTTTCCATTAACTAACAAACCAGCTAGTGTGTCATTTGTTTATGGAATAGCCACACAATTCCAAAGAGTAGAGATGAGAGAGACGAGGGAAAGAATTGTGGTTAGATGGGACAAAGTAAATAGGTTGGGATAGGCATTGGAGAATCGTAGCAGTGACATTACTGAAAAAAAGAAATAATGATCGATACATAGTGGAAGGTGGGGATGAGAGTGAAAGATTGGTCAACCGATGTCCAAGTATGGATATTTCAGAGTGTTTAGTGAGTGAGGTCTTATTATAGCTGGGGCCCTAATTTTTATTTATGTTGAGGAAGGAGAATCGTCTGTTTGGAAATAAGGGAAAATAAAAGAGACCCACTTGATTGCAGCTGGATGTGTAGCTAGGTTCTACAGCTTTGGTAGTCCATACTCTGATTTCATCACTTTAATTCTGAGGATACTACTCTCAAACTCATCATGCATTTCTTGACTTCATTTTCCCCTACATGTTGGAATGTGTACTAGGGAATCGGATCGAGATGTGTGGAATCTGAAAAAATTTGGAATATTGTGTTCATCATTGTCACAAAGAAATATACTCATACCTACCTTTATACCTCCCTTGTTCGGAAACATTTTGAGATATGACCGGCTCCTATGGTAACATTCCTATTTTTGGTTTCTGATCTTTTATTTTTATTAAAGAAAAATAAACAATTTGAAACTTATTTGATTGTTTCTAAAATTTCTATACAATTTTGATAATGTTAAAAAAAAATTGCAAAATACTTAGATCTCTTAAGAAAACTGGAAACGAGAAATAATAAATTTTAGATGTTACCAAACAGGCCCGACATAATATCAATCCATAAATTGGTAATTTCATGGCCGAACACGTATTTTCTCTTCTTCATGAGTATTTACATAGTGGTTATTGATTAAATTGTGTGAAGCTAGAGGCTAGAGCACAATTTCAGTTGTTCAGTTTTTCTTTCCAACTATTGATTTATTGTTAGTCTAACATCTTGTTATTTTCATAATTGGTTTATGTTTTTTATAAAATTAAAATTAGTGACAAACATAAAACATTTGAAGCATGAAGGTTAGCATAGATAAGTAATTAAACTAATACCAATGAAGTTATGGTGGGAGCTAACTCCTCGCATTGAAAAGTTGCTTAAAATAAGAAAATAAAATGGAGACTGTTTGAGAAAGAATTAAGGCCGGTTTCCTATTTATCTTCTATAATCTTATCAATTTTAATCCTTTATCAGGTGGATTCTACTCTTTTATAATTATTACTTTTCAATTTTTACTATTTTCTCTCGTCTATTTACATGATCAGATTTTTTAATTAATTGTCTTACTTTTATTATTTATTAATTCAATTAATAATTTTTCTTCTAATAAAAATTTATACAACTTTTATTATAAAATATTACAAATTTCTATTCAATTTTTTAATTAATTAATTTTACTTTATTATATTCATTAATATCAATACATTCTAGAACAAAATTCATTACTATTAAATATTATAACAGTAAAGTTTAACAATATTTTATATTAAAGAATGGTTGTCCTAATAAAAAATTGTTGTAATTTTATTTTAACTATTTATTATTTGTTAATATTAAATAAATCGTTACGATGAAAAAAATATACTATCAATCAATATTAATGAAATAAATTAAATTATTATAATTAAAAAAAGATTAGCATGTATTTGCCATTAATTAGTTAGAAATATGAAAGGATGTATAGTAGGTAATTGTTATCCAATATCAGATAGTTTTAGTAAACCACGAACAATATTTTATTTCGATTCCCATAAATATTTTAGTAAACAAGAATAATATTTACATTCCAATTGATTTTCATTACGATTTCTTCCCATTTCGATTGTGTGTAAGTAAACATCGTTTAAGATGTAGATTGTGGAAATATTGTACTAGGTTCACTTGAAATGAAGACCAAGGAAAAGCATGTTGAGCAATTCGGACGGGACTATCCAATCTAATCTATAAAATCGTACTCTGATCGAATCTCGATCCACCCAAATCTACTGTGTTGGATATTCAACTTTGGAATCCTAATCCAAAACCTGCATCAACTTAAAACACATTAAGGAATTGTTTTGAAGTAATGTGAAGTGGGAGAATAATATAAAAGATGGCCACTTTGTCACATAGTCCACTACCCAAGCCGAGAGAAGTAGAAAGCTTGCTTACCCCTTTTCAAAAAATTTACTGAGATAAAATAAAAGAACAGTAAACCCAATGGTATCTTTGTCTCTTTCCAAGATTCTTTTTTCCATAATTAGTCACTTCTTCTTATGCCAATTCCAATTCATTTGATTATTTTCATTCAGCCGACTGATCTTCTGCTCAAACATCACCCTCCACCTTTAACAAAGCCCACTCCTTCCAATCAACTATTCAGAACCTCTGTTCTAATATGATTTTGTCCACATCTCTATCACTAACCTACGTTTTAAATACAACACCAACAAGATTTTGGGAAGAGTTCAAAAGCAAAATCATCCCACTTTAGTTTAAAACATAGACAACATCCTAATATCATTTTAGAAATTATAGAGATTTAACCGCTTAGAACAAGGTAATTATATTTTTGAAAAATTGTTTATAGGTACACGTTGAAAAAGAAATGAAAATGAGAGAGAATGAACTCAAACTCTAAAATTGTTATTGCCTTAAAATAAAATTGTACAAGTTTCTTAACAACCAGATATTATCCCGGTTCGGATAGTGGCAGCAATCATTTAAAACGTTCTACATTTTGGTAGCAGGGCAGCGGTTGGAGGTGTTAGGTTGACCCTAAGGTGTGTGTTTGATTGGATGTCTCAAGAGGGGAAATGTTAGTGAGTCGACTTTACTATAAATTCCCAAATACAATCACAATGAACTGTCTGGTTTGATTACCCATTCATCAACCAATATTCAACACCATTCTTTGTGGGTTTTGTGATAATTTCGATCTAACAACTCTTCTCGCATATTCCAATTCCCGATTTATGTTGGGTGTATTATGTCCTCAAAAAAACTTTTTAAAAAATCTAAAAAAAATTATATTATATTTTTTCAAAAATCACTACGTTTACTGTGCTATATGTATATATATAGGGAATTTAGTAATCCTCGACATCTGTGAAGACTGTTTTTATAGACCAATGCATGGTTGATGAGTGACTAGATAAATCTAAAAAAGATGACAAAATAGAGGTTGGGACACAAGACTTCCTGTTACGATATACTATGTTAAACAAGTTAAATCACCAATGAACTCAAAAACTTAAACCGATGAATTAGAGTAAATTTAATCATTTAGGGATATCCTAACAATATATATAAACCGTAAAAATTAATCATTCAAAATATGATCGAAGCACTTAGTTAAAGAAGAACTAATCCTCTAACTTATTAGTTGTTACTCGTTAAAATGGTTCAAGTTAAAATTAAAAATTTACACAGAACTTTTCACGGTTAAAAATATATAAAAGGTGGGATTAAGAGAAATTTTTTATGTCAATTTTACCCTCTTGTTATAATTCTTTTGGATTTAAATTTAATGGCAGTTTTAGTAAAGTTTTTCTTTTTTTTTTTTTTCAAGTCTGCCATGGTGTCTTCTACGTTTAGTATTTCATCTTCCATTTTAAAATTGCCACAATGTTGTACTTTGAATCTAGACCGCAATCAAATAATCATTTTAAAATTTCCATTTTATTATATATTAAAGCTTATTTTTTGGGCTATTAGACTACAAGAAGAAAAATAGGCAGAAACTATTTTACAAACTTAAATAACTTGTCCAATATTTGTAATTTTATAAATAAATTACAATAATTTTTATATTTTTCGTAATTTTAAACCTCACATGCATCGTTCCAACAGTAATTAAAAGTCTTAGGAAACTCGACCAGTCTTTGGATTTTATTTTCCCTTTTTCGGTTTAATTAATTTTTTTTTCTAGTTAATGTTGTTGACTGTCACAGTTGACACAGAGTAAGATGAGTAAGATGGTAGTAAAGTACAATGAACTTTTAACTTCAATACTTCGTCCCAAGAGATCGGAAGAATGCGACACATGAACTTCACAGTTTTATCTATTTTTATCATTTACTTTTATAAATGTCAACGAAGAATCTGAGTAATTAAATTAATTAAAAGCTACCCTTTTTCTATATATATATATATATATATATATATATATATATATATATATATATATATATATTTTAATATTCTAATTTAAGTAATTGGTAGTGGAGATAAAACAAAAGGAAAAAGCATATAGCCTATAGGTGACGAATCTTGAAACTTACACAAATTTCAGGATTTGGGTGTCGCATTTTTTGAAAACCCTAATTGGCTTGTAGAGGGAAACGCAACGAATCTTCAAGGCCGCGGCGC